GCTATTAACCTTTTTAATGCTCAGTACAGAGCCATCTTTAAACAAACTGTTTTTATTCAGGTGAGCTTTTTTAGTCTTATTTGTTAATCAACTTTCTTGGATGGGCCTCTTAAGAATTCTTATGAATTGTTTTAATTCTGCTAGTGAAGATTGTTCTGGGGAAATGGCTAGTTTCAGCTTTGATAGGAATTTCTGCATTGCATGGGCAGGTCAGAGTGGGAGAAATTGCCGCATAATCAAGATTACCTGGAGAAAGGGTACCCCAGTAGTGTTTTCTACATGGGGAATAAAAATGGCTGGCTTGTCTCTCTTGAAGAGAGAAAAGTCTTTGGTGTTGGTGGGCAGCCTGCAAAATGAACTATCTATCTGTTGTGGTTTAGCCACAACCAACAACTAAGCACCATGCAGCTGCTCGCTCACCCTCTCCCCCCTGGCGGGATGGCAGAAAAAATTGGAAGAACAAAAGTAAGAAAACTCATGGGTTAAGATAAGAACAGTTTAATAATTGGGGGGAGGGGAGGGAGAGGGCGAAGTACTGAAAAGGAAAACAACAGGAGAGCGAGAAACATAAACCCAGGAAAAAACAAGTGATGCAACTGGTCACCACCTGCTGACTGATACCCCACCAGTCCCCAAACAGCAAATACTGCCCCCCAGCCAACTGCCCCCCATTTATATACTGAGCATGATGACATATGGTCTGGAATAGCCCTCTGGCCAGTTGGGGTCAGCTGTCCTGGCTGTGTCCCCTCCCAACTTCTTGTGCACCTGGCAGAGCGTGGGAAGCTGAAAAGTCCTTGACTAGTGAAAGCACTATTTAGCAACAACTAAAACATCGGTGTGTTATCAACATTCTTCTCATACTAAATCCAAAACACAGCACTATGCCAGCTACTGGGAAAAAACATTAACTCTATCCCAACCGAAACCAGGACACTATCCCATGTATTGATACAGCTTCAGAAACTTATTTCAGCAATCTCTGAAAAGAAGACAATTTGAAATTCCCATCTGGACTGAAAAGTCCTTTACAGTGCTGTGGTACAAGGTAAGCCCTGCAGAATGTTTGATTTCATTCACATGTGAACTGCCTTGCACTGATAGCTGTCGTTTAGTAGCAATACAGAAACAAATTTGTGTGGTTTTCCGATAGAGCACACAAGTGTCATGGCGGATCATTGAAATTTACTTCAATTACTACCATCTGTCATGCATAAGGGTTTTAATATCTGGAAACTTCTTCCAGGTCATTGGATAGGATCACGAAGATGATTAAGGGAATGGAGGATCTTATAGGCGAGGAGAAGCTGAGAGAGCTGGGACTGTTCAGCCTGAAGAGGAGAAGGTTCGTGAGCAATCTTATCCATGTTTCTCAGTGCTTGATGAGAGGGAATGAAGAAGAGGGAGCCAGACTCTTCTCAGGAAGAGAAGACAGGACAAGAGGCAATGGACACACAATAAAACCCATGAAATTCTGTTTGAACACAAGAGAAGAGACTCTAACTGTAGAGCACTGGTCGAACACTGGCACAAGTTTCCCACACAGGCTGTGGAGTCTCCATCTGTGGAGATACTCAAAACCTGCTAGAGAACTTGTCCTGTTGTCCTGGACAGCCTGCTGTAGATGACTGTGCTTCAGCAGGGGGGTGGACTAGATGATCTTGAGAGGCCCTGCCTATCCTCAGTTATTATGTGGTTTTGTAAATAGGCCAAGAGTTGTGCAGTGCCATACTTTTTTCAACAGGACTCTTTAAACAGAATCCAAACTTGGGCCTCAAGTGGCCTTGGACTGAAACAGTTCTTGTTGCATTCCAAAGGTATAGCTTTATCCCATTGTCCTGGTTTCGGCTGGGATAGAGTTAATTTTCTTCATAGTGCTGTGTTTTGGATTTAGTACCAGAAGAATGTTGATAACACTCTGATGTTTTCAGTTGTTGCCAATTAGTGCTCAGACTACTCAAGGACTTTTTGAGCTTCTCCTGCTCGGCCAGGTGCATAACAAGCTGGGAGGGAGCACAGCTAGGACAGCTAACCCAAACTGACCAAAGAGCTATTCCATACCATATAACGTCATGCTCGGGGGG